CACCCCAAAACCCCAAAACCCCAAAACCCCAAAAATTGTGATATATTTTGAAAAATCCATTCATTCCTAATAATAATTAGTTTTTTACAGAAATATGAAGACCAGAGTGACGAGGAAGAATCCTTTTGAAGGATTCACTCAGCCAAATCAGAGTGAGAATGCAGGGTAAGGAACTGAAGGAGGAGTTTTAGGCTAGTTTTGAGCTGGAAGATATTATTATTCCGTTCTTATCTGAGAATTGGTAGATAATAAATATAGGTTTAGCGATCCCCAGATTAAAGAGGAACCCTATTCACAGAACGAATGGGGAAAACCTGCTCAGGAATTTGGAGGAAGGGTTACTAATCCTTTTGGAACTCCGAATACCTATTCTCAAGATTCTCAATATCAGGATGACATTGATATGGCTAGAGAGGATACTTATAACCAAGCTTCTTACGGAGGTCAGGCTTGGAATCCAGATGCTAATAAAGCTCAGCAGTTTGGCCAGTATGACCCTAACCAATTCGCTCCTCCTGAAAAATCAGGGTATGGGTTTGGAGGAAAGTCCATGGAAGGCCAAGTAAACGACTATCTGAATGAGCCACCATTGTTAGAAGGTGAGTTTTGCTATACTTCTCATTATATAACTTTATCTAACCCTTATAGACCTCGGAATAAACCCAAAGCAAATTATGAGGAAAGTTTTATCAGTTATCAGTCTGAAGAAGATCAATAGAGAAATTGTAGAGGATGCTGACCTTGCTGGCCCAATCTTAATCGCTATTATATTCGGAACATTGCTGTTGCTAAGAGGAAAAATAGAATTCGGAACAATCTATGGCTCTGGGCTTACCTTCTGCTTCCTATTCTACATCCTTTTCAAAGTGATCGTAGACAAAGAGCATTCTTTGAACTTATATACCATTATGAGCGTGCTTGGGTACTGACTGATCCCATTCAATTTCCTTGCAACTATCACCTTGTTTTTGCCTATTTTTAATATTGTTGGAGGAATTTTAGGCTTTGGTATAATCTGCTGGTCGACGTACATGGCAACGCAGTTCATTGAAGTTATGCTCCATACTCAGAATAAGAAAGCGATTATAGGATTTCCGATATTCCTGTTCTACATGCGCTTCCTCTTAATAACCATATTCTAGGTTTTGATAAGTACGACTCTCAATAAATTAATTGGAAAATGGGGTTTTGGGGTTTTGGGGTTTTGGGGTTTTGGGGTTTTGGGG